GGGGCCGCCGTGCCGGGGCAGTAATGAGGGGGAAAAGAAGCCCCGAGTGTCGTGCGGGGGGTGACGTGTGGCCCCTGCCGGACTGCTGCATAAATAGCCGCGGTGTACCAGCGGGCCACGAAGATCCGCCTTAAGACTGCGAAAATGAACATGCAGGAGTCACCGCTGTGCCGGCTTATTTTGGTGGAGAATGACCTTTGGGGCTCTACCCGGTTAAACAGCAAGCGTTCTACTTTATGTATGGGTGTAGTTACTGCTGTGGTGGCAGATGGGGTCAGGGAGTCCTGTAAATCCTGACTCGTGTGTCCCACCTTGGAAAAGAATTACTGACGTGGGAAAGCTGCTGTAGAACGGGTGTTCTTTGGTGAACTTCCCAGTCCGTCTGACAAGGAATACTAATCAACCAGTACGATCTTGGCTGTGGTTGGTTTGTTTCTTTGTTCGTTTTGTTTTTCTTCTCCACCTTGGCCTGAAAAAGGATCCATGAACCTCTGAATGGAAACTCTCTGGATTCCCCCTGGAAGTATTTATTGAGCAGTGCTGAACCCAGTCCCATGCAGCTACCTTTCTGGTAGGATGTGTTGAACTGGAGCTCAGCTCTGTGTCCTTTACAAACACAAGTGCGGTGTGATCTGCTGCCTGATCAAGTGAGGTACTGGCACGGAAGCGCTGCGGACACCTGCCCTAACAACAAAAGCATAAGCCAAGTTAAACAGCTTGGTATTTCTAAATTAAAAAGCCACACTTTGCACTCCAATTTCTGACTGTTTCTCAAATCTTGTTCTGTATGAAAAATAAAAGTATAAGCTGTCTTATTTTCCCATCTTATTTCCATGAGAGGTAGGAGCTGTTTGTGGGAAAGAATGCTGGAGAGGGCTCTCACTTTAAGTGGAGAGATAAGGTATAAAGGACAGACTGTTGGGGTTTTGTTTTTTGGTGGTTTTTTTTTTTTTAATTCCTTTTGTACTGCTTGTTCAAAATTTAGAGCAAAGGCTGTCTTGAAAGCTGGTTTTCCTCAATGCCTGGTTGAAAAGAGGCGTGTGAGACCTCCGTTTTACATCCGTGGTGTTCTGCCTGAGACGGTAGCAGCGGAGGCACCCTAGCTGTTGCTAGTGAGCGTCAGAACCATCAGTTCCTGGCAGATCCTTCAGCGCTCGGTTGCCCTGCTGTTAACTGCCTCATGCAAAGCAGGCTGTAGAAGAGGAGGTGGTGGATTTTTTTTTTTCCTTGGTTTCTACAGCGTTGTGTCCCACCTGAGATGTTTTGCAAAATCGTGTTAATATAGGTTTCATGATTAAAAAGTATGATTGTAGGTATTCAGCAATCATCGACTGCTGAAAAGAGTTTTGGAGAATAAGCCTTGTGTAGAAGATTCCCCGCCTCAGGATGGATTGTCAGTGGTCGCTGAGAAAGGAAAAACAAACGACTCGTTGGACTGTTAGGTTTGCTTGTTTTGACAGCCATGCTCATGCACAAAGACTAGCGGACGAGTGTTATGTTGTAGCACAAACAAATACTTTTAAAAGACAGTAGGGTCCCAGTGACAATAGAAAACTGCTGAGGCGTTCTCTGTCTTGACACCCCGGCGTTCAGAAGACCGTTTTGGGTTTTCCTCCCTCTGTGAAGAGCAGAGGAAGGCTTTGTTTCTGTCTGGTGAGAACAGTGTGCGTGTGCCCATACTGACAGGAACAAAGAGAAATTCTTTAAGTTACGGTGGTCTTCACAAGGTTCCTGTGCAGATGGTGTTCCAAGAATCAAAGCAATGCATCATTGACTCTTGTGATTATGAACCGGTTGAAAAGCATTTATGGAGAAGCTTAAATTTAAGCTTGAGTGGCCTAGCAAGCTGATTTGGGAAGGAGAATTCTGTTAAATGAACTGTGACAGTGGGTGATCAGGGAACACCTCAGACGTGCTAGCTGAAGACTCTGAAATTCTGCCACTGTACAAATTCCATTTGTGTTGTGTTTTGATAGAAGGTGTCGCAAATGTAATCGGCAAACCTGGCCCGACTTGCCTCTGTGAGTACGTGTGTGAGAGATACTTGCGGTAGACAGGGGTTTGGGGAAGTCTGTGCCTGGGAACTCTCTTGTGTGAAGAACACAAACAATAGAAAGGCAAAATAAGATGTTCTTTGGTGAAGTGAAGAAGTGCTGGATGAGGAAAGAGTTTTTGTTTCTCAATACATTTATAATAAGATTTCTGCAAAGAGTTTACGTGTTTCTGTTTGGATTTTTCCTTTTCAGCAAATGATGGAAATCCATGATGTCCTGAAGGAACAAGTGTTCGCCTCTTCTTTATTTTTGTCTTTCTTCATTTTGCTTCATCTATTTTCAGTTACTCTTTTGTATTTTTCATCTGTATATAACTGGATACAATGACAGAATAAAATTAGTGTTTATTGGTGACTCCGACATAGCCAGAACATACATAAATTGCTCTTTGTTTTAGTACTGGGGCAGAGCAAGATCATAGTATGTTGGCGAGAACTCCTTGTATTTCTTCTTACTGGCTGAAGCCTAAGGATCTCTGATAGCTGAAAATGTCAGAAAAATACTGTATTAGAGGCAGGCTACAAATGAAAACATCGACAAATATTTTCCTTTCATGAAAAATTGGACATGAAAGCACAGAACAGTTTTGGCTGAAACAATGCCACTGTGCAGGAGTGGGTTCCAAAAGACGTGTACTGTGGTCAGCAAAAAAAGTGTTAAATAATCCACAACTGAACTAATGAAAGTCTCATCATACTGTACCTCCTTTTATGCTTTTAAATGCTTAATGATAAAGCACCAGCCGAAGGCTTTCTGTCATGCCATAACACTGTGTCTTCAAAACAAGAGTTCCATCTAGAAGCTAAAACTTGGTGATTTGAGACCCAAACCAACTGTTACTATTGCATTAAACCCAGCAGTACCCTTTCAAGTTGTGTATCTGTGAAAGTACAGTTTTATTCTGTAACTTTGAATATTTTGTGGTGATGACCACCATGTGTAGCTTTGTATGTCTGTCGTTTTATCTCCCACTTCTTCTGAAATCAAGTGGCTTTTGGCAAGACATAAAAAAGGTATCTCTTTCTCTCCCTTCTTCTCGAAGATCTTAGTGGCTCCATAACAACACCAGATGTTAAACTAAATCTTGGAGGAGAATTCATCAAAGAATCGACTGCAACTACATTCCTAAGACAGAGGGGGTATGGCTGGCTTCTGGAAGTGGAAGATGATGACCCAGAAGATAACAAGCCGCTCCTGTATGTCATAATTAATTTGGGGTATCTGTCTTTATAAGCTGCGTAGGAAAAACAAACAACTTGAAGCCTCTCAAATTGTCCCACAGCCTTTTGCTGTGACTAGAATTCTGACAGATTACTTCACCAATGAGTTTTCTGGTGCAGGAATGAAAACATTATTTTATTTTCTCATTATGGGTTTTATTTTTAATGTAAAAGAGAGACTTGTTATTCGCTGTAGGTGAGGAAGGAAGGAGGAAGTGAAATGCAGTTTCATTAATCTGTATAAGTATAAAGCTCTTATGGCTTTTCTGCTCTTGCCTGTTGATCTTGTAGTGGTTAAAAAAATTAGATTGTGTTCTTTCTATCTTTTGTGCTGATGTTGCGAGTTTCTTAATGCTGTCAAAGAATCGGAGGCCAAGACAGTCCTGGGTAAAGATTCACGCTGAGTACATTGAAGTAAAGCGTGTCAGTTACTCTGAAGTGAAAACATTGTGAATTGTGTTTATTACAGTAGGGATGCTAGAAGCAACGTAGCACAAACTTTATGATCTTTGATGCTATCTTTTATTAGAAAGCCAGATTAAAAGGCTGTTAGTGTTGAGAGACAAAAAGTGAAGATCTCTGCATCCCTTGTTCTGTTCACAGAAACATGATTGGCTGGAGAAAGTTGGTATCTGAAGGTTACTAAACTCCGAGTCAGGCAGCCTGGGCCTCAGTCTGTTCTGAACCTCAACACTTTCATTCGCAGTGTCTCAAGTGTTTTCGTCTATGAATTAAAGATAATGATGCTTTAAAAAAAATGGAGTGAGCAAGAGAGTACTCTGGAGAACTCAGATGAGAGGGTTGGGAGAGAACAGGTGTCTGGAGAGCCTAATAGTGAAACTGCTACTTGAAAAGTAATTTAAAGTGTGCAGAAGTAGCTTCTTGTGTGGATAAGTCTGTTCTGTAAACTGTAACTTTTAATCAAGAAACAGAATGGTGTACTGAGGCGACAGCATACGAATTCCCTCTTTTGTATTGCTTTTTATACCACAAACTCCAAGTCTGTGATTCAAAGACAGCTTGGTGTTCAAAGCCGCTGATCGCTGGAGGAGGGGAGAACGTGCCAGGGAAATGGTCAGTTTGTGGTAAACAGGATGAATGTAATCATCCCAGCAGAGGAGACCTTAATCTGACTTTCACGTAGCAGCTTTTATGCAGTTCTGACCGTTCCCGGAACATGTGCTGTAACGAAGCCTTGTAACCTGAATCCTGCTAAGGGTTCAAAGGACAGCAGCCCGCCAAGGGAAGTCCACCAGTGCAGTACCACCACGCAGGCATCTTGTTCCACAGAGTGCTCTGAGACTTCTTGCTTTCTCACTGGCCAGCCTGGCTCCAGACACTTGCTTCCTGTTACAGCTCCATCACTTCCTAGGTGAGGTAGCGGTCAGCTTCATGCGAAAGAGTTTGTTCACGTGAGAAACTGTCAGAAGCGCTAGGCCATGACAAATAATTGTTTCCAGACAGGAACTATTTGTGTTACACAGTTTTCAGAGTAAAATACAGGTGTGCTACAGACTGTTTAGATAAATAGAGGAAAAAGGATGCTTCTAGTCTGCTCCTTAGATTCAGGGTTGTGTTAAAGAACAGTTTTTGTTATTTAGTCACAGGTTAGTAATACCAATTCTGAAATAGCTTCAGTAATAGCAGTTCTGAAATTGCCATGAGACACCCAATGGACAGAATTTAATTTCTTTTTTTTTAAAGAGAAATTGTGGTAAATCATGTCTGTTTATTTTTTGCTTCAGCTTTTCTGAGGAAAAAGCCATAAATCAAAGCCTTGTACCAAACTTTCATGAACAGAGTTAGGCTATGATTCTTCGTTTTGTTGCGGATGATCTGTTCCTTTGCTAGTCATGCCTTCAGAAAGCCCTGTCAGCGACAGGAGACTTGCTCTACAAACCTGCTGTTTGCCCCTGCACTTCTTTTCATGCTCTGTTTTGTTACTGTGGTGTGTAGTAATGCTCTCGTGCTTTGCAATTTCAGGGAGGAACTCGACATTGATCTGAAGGATATTTACTACAAAATTCGATGTGTGTTGATGCCTATGCCATCTCTTGGGTTTAATAGGCAGGTAGTGAGAGACAATCCAGACTTTTGGGGTCCTCTGGCAGTTGTCCTCTTCTTCTCAATGATTTCATTATATGGACAATTTAAGGTAGGTGTAAGCCTTCTACCTAAAAAGAAATCTAGACTAAATCTGGGGACATGATTGCTAAGCAATTTGCATTCTTACGTAGGTAGAAAGTCTTTTCTTCACATACTAATGCGGGGCATTTCACATGCTGTTTCTCAAGTTAATATGTAGAAAGACAGCAGTAAGAAATGTATTAAATAGCCCACGGATAACTTAATCATGATGGAATGTCAGGTTTGTTTTTATACAGTAAAACAAAAGAAAGATGTGGTTTCTAGAGGAAACAGATTGATACTAATGGGTTTATAGCCAGATTAGTGAATCTTTCCATTTTAATTGTGACCTTTTGTTAACATGGTTTTTATTACTAAAAAATGTTACTGAAGAAGATTTGTTTGGATACCACAAATTTTAATTTCCCGACAAATAAAGCTAGTTGTTTAATTTGTACTATATCACTGCTGTTATCTGGTATATTTAATCTTTGTTAGTGCCATTTGCTGTTTTGTCCTTCCTGCTCAATTAGAATCAAGTAACTTCCCTTTGGTCAGCAGACTTTTTCTGTAATTCCTTTTGAACTCCAGGGTGAATAGCTATTCACAGGCGTTATGCAGATTTAATTGGCCTCCATCAGCATCATTAGCTTTTTTTCTTTACGTTCAGCTTGAAATAGAGAAGCGGTATCACTTACAGTCACAATTCCAATGCGAGCCTAGGTGATCCTGCTTCGGAAATCTGTATGACTGTGTGTGTAAGCCATACGTAAAGTAGCAGAATGTGCTTGTGCAGGGATTTTTGTGAGTGGTGAGGTAAAATCATTCCCTTTGCGACCTCTGGCTTCCGTGTGGTGTACCAAGTGCTGACTAAGAACTCGCTCTCCGTGTCTTGTTTCTATGAGACTTGAAGTGAGTAGACTAAACCAGTGCAGTATTCAGGTCTTCTTGGTGGACCACTTAGCTGTCTCCTAGGGAAAGCGAGGACCATTCCTTGATCCCACGCCAGATAAACACCTTCTGCAGTTGATGTCCCCGCTGTACGTGGGCGGGACGGCCGGTGTCGGTTAGGAGCAGTGGCTTCGCCTTGCCGACATAAGGGTGCTGGGTATGGGTGAGGAGGGAAGGCTGGTTGCTAGTAACAGGATGACTGACAGCAGCCAGGCTAGATGAACTGGATGGTGGGCTGTAAGCTGGAGAGAGGTGAGTATTCCTGCTCGAAGACTTCAATCTGGTCGTCGTCTTCTAGATGGCAGAGGAAAGCAGGAAGAAAAAGGAGGCCGTGTGCTATTTTCACAGACAGCACAAAGCTGGTTTTTCTTAAGTGGTGCTGTGGTTTTTATCTGTTTTCCCCTGTTTGACTCTTCTGAGAATCTTGAGCTTTTATTTAAGCAAAATACTGAATTGAGTGCTAACTTTGTTTTTAAGTTCAGCCATTGTACGTTTGGCAGTACGGCGACTGGAGTCATATTGTTGTTTCCTTCTAAAAAGGTATTCCAAAAGGGAGAGCTTCACGTCTAGTCCTCCCAGTGGCTCAACTCCAAGGATAGTTAAGTTACTTTGAAGAGTCTGTTAAACCAGAGAATGATTTTAAGATTTCTTCTTCAGTTTAAGAGCAGAGCAATGAAAGCAGCAAGAAAAAAATGACAGACTTTGTCCCAGGAGCCTGAGGCTGTTTATTAAGTTGTAATCATCATCAAATTCTACTGAGAGTTAGGGCCCTGTGTCGTCTTCTGAGCGTTCTCAGTTTGAGTAAAGAATAAAGTGGCATCTTTATGGATGAAAGAAGCAGAGTTCCAACCCTTTGTATATTGGTTGGGCTGACTTTTTGAAGTTTGAGCCCGCATCTTGTAATAGGCAGGATGTGAAGACACTTAGCTAGGGTGGTCTTGGCTTTAGTTCTAACTAAACTCTTCCTACTCTGCTGCAATATTACAATACTTACAAAACATACGGCATGTGCTTTCCATGTTCGCCAGACTTACTATTAATGTGATTCTGTAGATTTAACCTCTGAATTCTATTCTGAAGTTGCTTTGTGGTATTAAGTAAAACTGTTCCTGCCACAATTCGGAATTCAGTTTTGCATAATAAAATCCCTGCAGTGAATGTGATTAATAGAAATGAGTTTTTATTTCTCACAGTGAAAATGAGTAATGTAATGAATTGTTCTTTATCTCTTAAGGTTGTTTCTTGGATTATAACTATTTGGATATTTGGATCCTTGACAATTTTTTTACTGGCCAGGGTTCTTGGAGGAGAAGTAAGTACCTGCATGTGAAAAAGATGTAGAAGGGGGTAATGTAAAGTCTCTTGGCTACATTTTTCAGTTGTAGTTGGGTTTTCTTGGTGCTTGGCTTTGGACCTTGTAGCCGACTAAGAATGGATGCAGTTGGTAGGTGTAACACCTACATTTCAGGTCCTTGGTCTCCAAAACAAAATCTAAAATACAGAGATGCTCATCTTTCTGTGTGATGGATGGCACGCTGAATGAGATAAACAGTCTGGAAATTTGTGGTATGAGTCCCAGAAATCCTGACAGGTGCCTGTGGTCCAGAACTGAAGTCCATTCAAGAGGGACAAGAGCTTTCAATCCTTTGGTCACTGAGCTAAACGGGACTCTTTCTTCTCCTTTGCACTGCTCTTGCACTGCCCTTTAGTTAAACTTTCTTTTTATTCTCTTTTTTTTTTTTTTTTTAAACAAATGGGGCTAACAGCAGTTGTATAATGCCCTTGTGGGTCGAGCACCTACCAGTGTCTGTTTTCATCCTTGGCCTGATGCAGTTCACCCCCATTGAAGGATGAGTCAGTGCATGTTCTTCAGCTGCAAGGCCAGACGAAGTTCTGGCCTCCATCCCTCCCTCCAGCTGTTTGCAGCAGCAGGGCTTGAACAGCTGTTTACAAACTGAGTCACTAAGCAGTTCGTGTGTCAACAACAAAACATGGCTTACAGCAAGGCCCACAGACAGCTACAGCGGAGCAGTCGGGAGCGTAGAAACTTCCTAAAATGGCTCTGCAGCATAAAATGCATTGAACTGTGTCGTGAAGACTGAATGTTCAGTGATACTTGGTTTTTGTGTTTTTACTGTGCATCTTGCATTAATGATGAACTAGTGTGGCAGACTTCTTACGTTATTTACATTTACTGGTATTCCTTTTGATCATAATTGCTAGAGTCTTCTTGAGTGAACACTGTTTTGAAAGAAAAAGCTTTTATAAATGTACTTGCACGGTATTTCTGCATACCAGCAGAATCCAGATGCCCTTAAATCAGTCTGTTTTGTGGCTCAAAATGTGGGATTAACAGGATGTATAAACTGGGAGAAAGTGTAGGTCTGCACAGTTCACTGTGAAAGATCAATGGCCACAGAGGATTGCTTGCAAGACGGTCAGTTGTCTTGCCACTGTTTTTCCTGTTAAATCCAAGAAGCCTAGCTGGGCCCAGGAGCATTCCAAACTGTAGTAGGGGAAAATCAGACATTTTGATCCCCATGAAGCTAAAAACAGAAATACTTCGAACAAATCTGTTTATGATATTCATAGTAAATTTAAACTGGAAATCAGAAAATTTCTGTGCCTTAGAGGGATCAGGTTCTAGGTCTTCCACTGATGCCAAAAGCATTCATGGACTTTCTGTATTTCTTATATATAATGGATATGAGCATGTTAGTGCAGAAAATTATATCTTTGCTGCTTGTGACAGCCAGGACTACAGCTGACGACTGAGAGGTCTGTTCTAGTTCTGTGCTGCCTGGGTATCGTATGTACGCTCCAGGGAAAGGGGCAGTTAAGAACTCCTTGAGGTGGAACATGGAAATGTGAGGGGTGGGTGGAATTACATATCTTAACCTGTATAGATACTTCCCTTGGAAGTGGTAAAATTGTCATTTACAGTGTTAAAAAAACCCCAAACAACAACATATTTCTAAGAGAACTGGATGATTAATTAGAGAGTTCTAGGGGGTAGCATACAAAAACAATTTTCATACTAGCAAGCTTCCTTCAGCTGAAATTTCATGAATACCTAACACATTATTACTGCCATTCATACTGTCATAACAAGATCAAATTGTGTTTGGTGACAAGATTGAGTACTACAAAGCTTGTTTTTGTGCTTGAAAATTTCAGGTTGCTTATGGCCAAGTTCTTGGTGTGATAGGATATTCCCTACTTCCCCTCATTGTCGTAGCACCTGTACTTTTGGTGGTTGGATCGTTTGAAGTTGTTTCTACCCTAATAAAAGTAAGTTCAGTATCATCTATTGAGAATTGTTACAGTTATTTTTGAGTCACTTGCCTAACACTTAAAGTATGAATCTGTTCACGACAACATAACGGTGTGTCAGAATGTTTAGAACTACAAGGTGAGCCCTGTGATCCTTGTGGTCAGCGTGACGGACGTGACTGCTAAGTGAGTTCTGTTTCCAGTGTTGGAGTACTTGGGGATATACAGGGCTGTTGCTATAATAACACCTGTTGTTATCAGGCTAGCTTCTGGTTAGGTATTTGGCTGTGCTATAATATTTGCATTAAAAATAAATAGGTTTATAATTTTGAGAAGAGGATGCATAATTAAACCTCAAAATGAAGAATCTGAAAACAAGCTGTTCCATCGCTTCCCCCATAATCCAGTTTATTTTTAGTTCCTGCTGCACGAGCGTGACGTTAGTCATTGTTCCGAGACCTTCCCGTAGCAGTAGCAGTACAAAGCTCTCGGTACCCTTTGCAGAGAGGTGAGCCTCGTTCTGGTTTTGCGCATGTGGCATGTAAGGCACAAAGCAAGAATAACCTGCCTGATACCACCTTTTATGAAACTGATAGATCCCAGAACTACACAACATTCTTGAACACTTCCAGTACTTCTTAAAACCCTTTTAGATAGCCTTTGAAGTTATTGCTGAACTTTTGGAGAGGTTGACTGAGAAAATTCTCTTAGTAGCTAAGCTGTGTGCTTTCAGAGTTCTTGTTCGGTTGATTTGATTGATTTCTTTTGATTGTCCTTTTAGCTTGCTGGTAAACAGTATAATTGAAGAGTGTATGATAAATCACAAAATTGCTGTGTTTGTGATTTGGTAACTTGCAATTACTGTTAAGAGATACAGTCAGAAAGCAGATCATTAACTTGCCAGGTAACTAATGTAGATCTTGAAAATAAATATATGGTAATGAAACCTCTGTTACTTGATTCCTACTGACAGTCTTACATTAACTTCAGGGCGAATCTGTGCAAGGTTCTTACCTTTGCATCAGTAGTGTGAAAGTGCCGGGCAAGCCCCACGTGGCCAGAACAGGTTATGCTGTGACAAGTACTGCTTCTTATGGCTGGAGAGCTCTGCACTTGGGGAACCGTTTCACAGCCCTGAAGTTGGGGAACTTAACAGTGGAATTCCAGTTGGATCTTCTCCAGTTGCAATCAGCAAAGTAAACTGCTCAAGCAATGCACCTCGATTGTTTTAATTGCTGCAGTTCACAGAACGTTAGGGGTCAGAAGTGACCTGTGGAGATCACCTAGTCCAACCCCCC